AAGACGACTTCAGGCAGGTAAACTCTCGGCACTAAATCAGTCGTGACAGATATGACCAGTTGAAAATGTGCTCATTGTTTCCGTTGTTAGTAATGACAGTGATGGGTAAATGCCGGAGCAAATGAAGATAGCGCTGGCCAAACCCGCTTCGACACTCCCACAAGCAGTTGAAACTGAAATCTGCAAAATAGTTAAGAATCATCTAAAGTGATTAGCGATCTGTATTCTGAAATATCGCAACAGCGGCATTAAGTAGTACAGTAAGCACGGAACTCGCACTGCACTCTTTCGTGCGACGGATAGACCGATACTCTATTAAGAAAGTTCTGACGTTAGAAATTCAGAATATTTTCAGCAGTTCTTTAGTTTTCCTTCAGTTTAACCTTTGACCATTGCCTGCGCTCGAGGTTAGTGTATCAATCCGTGCACAGAAGAGAAAGTTAAAATTGGCTGCTACATCTGAAGATAAAGAAGTGAACAATATACCTCATGATAAAGAAGTGGAGCCAAGATCTGAGAAGTGGACCGCATAGCTTGAAGTGAATCAGGTATCGAGAAACAGTCTGTCATCACGTATTGGCATAAAAAAATTTGCCGACATAATCGAAGCGTTGGGTTTTCATGCCAATATTAAATGGTATACACAATCGTGACTATCTTTAGCGCTAAAGCTTCATGCTGCTGCTGTCAGCACCAGACAAACTCGATTTCTGGACCATTCTGGAAAGGCGAGTAAAGCACTTAATATGAAATTTTTCTCAGATCCGACAGGCCTATGTACGGCGTATTCGTGCTCGACCCAATATTCACTGTTCATAAAATTACAGAATTGGGCGGACGAGTGCGGGCGGCTACCTTGATATTCCTCTCATCGACTTGCTGTTCATCTCGTTCTGATCTTCGTTCAACGATGTACAACATTCTCAAAGATTATGGAATATATGAAGACGTAGCAGGTTTATGACAGATGTATGCAGAGAGCAAGAAAGCATGTGTCGTTAAACTGGAAAGAACGCTGTTTCGAATATTCTGTTGCTCTTAAATGTTGTTCTGTTCTTAGCTGATATAGTATTGATCTGAGCAAATACGCAGAATTCGTTTTAGAAGGAGGACGGCCTAACTGACCAGATCTTACTGACATGGAATACGCAAATGATATTGACCCTACATGTAGCATGGATGTGGAATATCAGTCCTCCCTAAAGGAAGTTGTTCGGTATGATTGTAGATTGCAGAATCCGTTACAATAGGCGATTTCAGCCCGCATGTCAAAGAGAACACTGAAAAGTAGAAAGTTGTGATTGGAAAAAACGACCGTAAGACCTAAACAATAACGGCACGAAGTTGTTGCGATTTTTTGCAATTAACAGAATGTCTGTTATGTGTACCTTTGAGAATGGGAACGTCCGTCTATATAGCTGGTGTAGGTGCACAGAAGTCTGCTATCAGTATTCTAATCGTATCTTCCGAAGTACGAGA